CCCCCAGTTATTCCCGTGTTGCCCTGGCTGCATGTCCTGGCCAGGCATCGTAACTTCGGGAGTGGAGGTTAGAGCATACTGATGGCCCCAAAGGAGCAGATAATCTGTGACCCAAGTTCTTAGAGAGTAAGACCACTGGCTTTCCAGTGTGCAGTTATTGTTGGGCAAAAGTTACAGTGATGGTCGCCTAAATAGTCTGCAGTCTGTCCATGCCTTTCTTTTTTGTTGTTTTTTTTTTTTTGGAGGGGTTGGAGTTTTTTTGTCTTCTTGAGACAAGGTCTCACTATGCAGTTCAGGCTGGCCTGGAGCTCACTTTGTAGCCCAGGCTGGCCTCAAACTCGCAAAGGTCCTCCTGCCTCAGCCTGCCAAGTGCTGGGATTACAGGCGTGCGCCACCACGCCCGGCTCTGTCCATCGCTTTCATACTTGGTTTTCTCCCTTGGACAACCAGGCTCACGCAGACTATCAAGTCACCCGAAACACATGGTCTCATAGCTCTGTGGAGTTGCTCTTTAGCGTCGTATGAGGTCTTCACTAAGCATCCGAAACAGTGCTCTCCATGCGTAATCGATCATGTTGTCCTCTCGGAGTTTGTCGGTAAGATAGGAAACTCAGAGTCAAACTTTTTGCCATCTGGCAAATGTCTAGGTCCTTCCTAACCCCTACTTTATCTTATTCTCTACTTGATCGTTGCTCTTCAACCCTCCTCTTATTCTAACATGTTACTTCTACAAGTGTCTCAAATTCTGTCTTCACTAAAAGATACGAATAAATTACTATTAAACAAGCAAGCAAAGGAAACTTCAGTACTATGTTTTTCATTTGATTAAAGCTTTTAGTATTGGGGCTGGGGATTTAGCTCAGTGGCACAGCGCCAGCCTTCCAAGCACGAGGTTGTGAGTTCAATTCCCAGTCCCAGAAAAAAAAAAAAAAAAAAAAGTCAAAACTTTTAGTATTAAATCAGTGTAAAGGTTTATCATTTTAACCCCTTTGTTATTATTTTTAAATGTATTTTTCTAGTAATTAGTTATAGGATTCTTTACTATTGGGGTTAATAAAGTATCTTTATCTTGATACTATAGGTTTTCCTTAATATATAATTCTTTTCAGGAAAGTTTTCTACAACCCTGTATTTCTACTGATGGCTATACATTTCAGCCCCAAAGCACTGAAATCTGACCGCCTCTGTACATCTTATTTTCAGAAACCGATATTCTCCTTTCTTCTTCTGTCTCCCATTAGTGTGCTATGAATGTTCTCTGTGGAACAGAAGTAAAATGCTAGTTGCCATCTACCTACACTGTTGACCAAGGATATATTTGAGATTCTTTGGGAAATAGTCCCCACCCCTTGCAAAAAGAATGAGACGTGTCGGGTACAGGTACCAACCTCAGGAAGGAATGCAGTCATTGTGTGCCACAGACACGGACTAATATAAACCGAACACTGTAAAACTTGTTTTTGAATACAAACAGAAACAATCCCCATCCTTTGCTACTTTATTAAGATCCAAGGAATAATTCTCATTTGCACTTTAAAACACTTGGAAGAGAAGGACCTTCCTAGCCTTCTAATGAAATATGAAGTGCTGCTTGCAGGCAGTATATAGAGCAAGGAAAGGGAATAATATGTTCTTGCCAAATTCTATTACACATGTTACAGAATTACAATAACTTGAACCCCCTAAGGTTGTAAATATTTATAAATTCAGAAGTAAATTTAACTTGAGAAGGAAAACTTAATTCCTTAAATAATAATGAAACATTTCACCTGACCCATCATGTGGACAGTTATAATAAAAGCTTATATGAAAAGCCCAATTATAGTTTTGAAGTGTGTTCTTAGTCCTATATAGTTACAATAAAGATTATGATTGTAAATAAATTTCATAACCCTTCCTAGTCATTTAGCCATATCATTATATACAGTTTTCATCATAAATCAGTCTTTAGTGGAACTTCATGTTTAATTATTCATGAATTCTCTTCATCCTAATACTCTGCAATATTATCTGATATTGAGTGGTCAGTAATGTCTAATATGTTCTTGGGTTATTTTTTAAACTAATCAAGTAGGAGCCAGGCATGTTGGTGCATGCCTGTAAGTCCAGCACTTGGGCAGGGTGTGGTGGCTCACGCCTCTAATCCTACCACCCAGGAGGCTGAGGCAGGAGGAACACTATGAGTTCAAGGCCAGCCTGGGCTACAAAGCAAGACACTGTCTAAAAAAAAAAAGGAAACCAATAGCAAATTTCTGTATGTTACATTTTAATAATAATTATTAAGCAGCAATTTTATGGTGAATTCTGTTTAGGACTATGGCTTATACAGCAAACAACTGTTATGTCCCAATTTTAAAGAGATGTATTTTTTCTTGAAATTTTTCATATTTTATTAATGAGCAGAGGGATGGGAAGGGAAGGGAACAAAGGAAGAAATGTATTTCTTAACTCTAAAAGCCAGTATGCAATTCAATATGAGGATACGGTAGATTTATTCATCTGTGTTAAGATGAGTAAAGTCTAACCTCAGCCTTGAAAAGATTTACATAGAAATACCATCTCCAGATGAATTCCATAATCACTAGGGGCACAGATGTCCAGCCCCTGAGATTTGCCTTTAGAGGGTAGGAACTGGGGCACTGCTTTCTAATATTAAAGCACAGAAGGTGATGCAGAAAGACAGGACAGAATGTTGAGTAAATAAAGATATTTTTAAAGGGAAAGGCCTTAAGAATGTGAAAGGTTGAAGAAATGTCAGGTTAGGTGGACCTGGGAGGACAGCAGATGCTTACAGAAGAGTGGAAGCCGTCGTAACCACAGACGGGAGGCTGGAGCCAGGGAATGGAGGCTTCAACCCTGATTAAGATATTTCTACATAATTTGATACATTAATTAAAACCACTAGATAATAACAAGCAGAGTGAGAGGTATAGGACACAACTGATACTTCAGAATTTTTTATTTGTGAGCAAGGGTACAAAATAGAAGGGGAAAGACAGCAGACGGTGAAATGAGTTAGGAGGCCGGATTCTAGGTGACACATTATTAAATCTGAATAGCAGAGAGGGTGGAAAAGAAGAAAGACTAGAGAAGCTTTGCTGAGGTGTAACTGTCAAGATGCTTAGCTCATTAGATCATAAAGAAGCCAACAAGGGCGAGTACATGGGCAAAGATGACTCAGTCTCTGAAGTAGACAAGCTGAAAAAATGCTGTCTGCTCATACAAGCAAAGAAGGCAGAGCTGGGTATGGGGTGCGAGCCTGTAATCTCAGCACCCGGGGAACTGAGCCAGGAGGGTGGTGCTGGACTACGTAACAAGACCCTGTCTCCAAAAACCTAAAACATAAAAAAATTTAAGAGGATGGGGGTAAAGAACCCGGCAGAAGAGCCTAGGGAATAAGCCCCTCTCTCTGTTCACAGGCCTGTGAATCTATGACGGTGTATTCCCCGTCCCAGTACCTCACCACCTCACGGAACAGTCTTTCTAGGGGACGAGAAACCAGAAGCATGTACATATATGACAGGAGCAGAATTGTTAGGAAAGTGTATCCAGGTGACTCCATTTTTTTCTCACTACTTTGAAAAATTTTATTAGGCTCCCTTTCAACTCTTCCTGCATATTATCATCACTGTATCTTCGATTTTATTTGTTATACTTGAATTACCAGTAAATGAATTTTTATACTCTGAGAGTGTAGAAGAATGGGCCCCAGAGACTGCTCTAAAGGCAGGAGAAGTTAGCAAACGCAATCAGGTAGGGTTAAATCTGTTCCTCGAACTTCCCACGTTCCGTTTTCCACATACTAGCAGAATGCTCTTAGAATGCGGTAAGAGTACCTTCTCCCCAGTCTAAAACAGCTCTCCTAGTGTAGGTGGAATAGAACCAAACCCTTCCTCACGGCCCATAAGATCTTACACAGCTTGGAGGCCGCCCCTCTCTGCACATCTTCTGCCGCTTTCCCTCAAGTGCCGCGCTTCATCCCGCCCTGCGGCACTCTGCGCAGATCCCAGCAGGCTCCTTCCTGCCATCTGGGCGGGCACGGGGCAAAGACTTCTCCCGCCTCCCTCCCGCCCTTGCCTCCTGCATCACATCTGCATTTGCACTTTCTTCATGGCAGTTCTAACTCTCTGAAGTTACCATGTTCATTGGTTTACTTCTTGTGTTGTTTTCCACTTGCAAATATGCTTCAGGAGCAGAACGTTTATCCTGCTTGCACTGCATCCTCAGCACCAAGAAACGGTGCCTGGATACAACCAATGCATCCATGAATGTGTGAATTAATCACTCGCGGACACTCTGGGAAAACCGCGTGCCTGTAAAATACATTCTTTAGGACGACTGAAAGGAAGACCACGAAAGACTCAGACATTTGAACTAATACATGGTTTATTTTTGTTTCTCATAAGGAAATTATTTTGTAATTCATTTGGAGTTTTGCCCTGTTGTTCCAAGTCTTACATTTAGATCTTTTATCCATTTTGACTTGATTTTTGCGTGTACTTACAGATAAAGATACAGTTTCCCCATTTTGCATGTGGAAATGTAGTTTTCCCAACACCAGTTATTTAAGAAATAGTCTTCTCTCCATGTGTGCTCTTGGTGCCCTCATCAAAAATCAGTTGACTGTGCATGTTTGGATTCATTCCCAGGCTGTCTTTTCTATTCAATTGTTTTTTTCTGTTTTCATGCCAATACCATACTGTTTTGATTACTGTAGCTTCCTAATACAGTTAAATCAGGAAGTATAATGCTGGCAATATTATTTGGGTTTTTTTTTTTCTGAGACTTGCTTTGGCTGGTCAGGGATTTTGTGGTTCTGTATGAATTTTAAGACTATTTCTATTTAGTATATATATATATATATATTTGGGACATTTATTTCTATTTAGGATTATATTTCTATTTAAGATTATATTTCTATTTTCTATTTAGAATTATACTTCCTCTTTCTTCTGTGGAGCAGTCCATTGGAATCTTATTTTTTCTTTTTTTTGGTACTGGGAATTGAACTCAGGACCTTGCATTTGCCAGGCAGGCACTTGTGCCACTAAGCTATATCCCAGGCCCTGGGTCCATTGGAATCTTGCTGGAGATTTCCCACAACATGGATGGACCTAGAAGTAAGGCGGACAGAAAGAAATATATTGCATGATACATTTATATGTAGAATATTTTCTTTAAAATATAGAGAGGTTATAAAAATGGTTACCACTTGGCATGGTGGCGTACGCCTGTAATCCCAGCATTTAGGAGGCTGAGAGAGCAGGATCAGTGCAAGTCTGAGGCCAGCCTGGGCCACATAGTGAGTTCGAGGTCAGCCTGAGCTACCAAATGAGACCCTGTCTCGAAACAGAGAGATGTTGCCATGGGTGGGGAGGGGCGAGAGAAATGGGGAGCTGTAGGTCAAAGGATAGAAAGTACCAGATATATAGGATGAAAAAGAATAGAAAGCTATTGTACAGCATGAGAATTACAGTTAAGAAAACTGTAATGTATTCAGAATTTTGATTGATAATTAAAATGTGCTCTTATCACAATATAAAAGTAACAGATATGTTAATTTGCTTAACTCTAGTAACTATACTATAGTATCCTATGGTATCACTTGTAAACTTCATATTTACACACAAAAAAATTCACGCTTAAATAATATTAAAGTCAAATAAAATGCCAGAAGAAAGTGACAGAGGGAATCTGGAAAGTGAGGGCTTTTGCCGACACTTGGGCTCAAGTTTCAAACGGAATTGGTACATCTATCCCTAGTGCCAGCCCTGATAGTAGGATGTGGAAGAGAATTTAAAAGCAGAGAAAGCACATCTACAGGAGCTATGTGGGTGCAGTGAACAATTGGAATAATAAAAGTGCATCCTTTATTTGATCGATTGGGAACAGGTTAACTAATTGTGAAAGATTTGCCCCAGGGTCTATTGTGAGAGCGCCACAGCCACTAAGGGCTGTCCACTCCCCCTCATGAGTAAGTTTGCTTCCTCCTGTAAGTTTGGCCCTCCCTGCCCCCCTGTGTCCCACCAGAGATGAGAGATACTTGGCAGAAGAGTTGCTAAACTAAGGACCGGTTTCCCAAAAAGCTGCAAATGACCCAAAAGTTTCCACCCCTGATTGTAAGCCTTCATTTCAGCCTCTTGGAGGTCAAATTTGACGTCAGAGCCTTTCGGGTTACAAGGCAATGGCAGCTCTAAGGGGCTGGCAGCCATGTTAGTGATGGCCGGCCCTGCCTGTGCCTCAGGTAATTTATTTTTTTTTTCTTTTTTTTTTTTAAGGATAAAAGGAGGGAAACATTAACAGACATACAACATTTTACAACATATCACAAGCACAATACAGACAATACAGAGTTACAAACAAAGTGGTAGGGAATTAACAATGGTGGTTGTATTACATATTGATATCTTCAAAGTGGCTTCTCATGAAAACAGATATAGACACGCAATACTGGTCAACCAAAGACTCATTGACAGTTTCTTTCAGCATAGAAACAGCAGACAGAAGAACAACCATGTTATCTATCCTGTATATACATACATACAAAATTTCTCCTTCTTTCCCTTCTCTTTTCCCACATCCCAGAAGCCCTTTACTCTTCGGTGGTTTCCTATCATTTCACAGTGTCTATCATACCTCCGAGTTTAAATTAACTCTTTCAAGTTTTACACTAGTGACACAATGCGGTGCTTGCACATGTATGTTTGATTTATTTCACTTATGAGTATGGTCTCTAGTTGTGACCATTTAAATATAAAGGCCTCGAGTTTATCTTTCTTTACAGCTGCCTCAGGTAATTTAACGAGGGATGCAACATGCGCCTTCCTTTCGCAGTCTCAAGGAACACCCCCATTCACTTCCTCTTTCCTTCTAATGTGTAGAGTATTAGGAGCCCTCCTCTGTTCAAATATTGTTACGTTTGTATTTTTTAATATTATATTATCCTTCAAAATTCTAGAATTCACTTTTAAATAAAATTTAGTAGTTATATATATTTCTTTTTAGAAGGCACATTATTTTTCAGTGCTCTGATATTTTTCTGATTCTTTATAACTTTCTAAAAATAACTGCTGGTGAGCTCATAAATTCATTAGTGAATCCCACTGGGACTCAATAATGCATATTACAGACCTCCTGATTTTTATATATTAGATTTCTCAAGAATTCCCTTACCTGTTATTATCAACATAGCTATATTGACAGGGTCTTCATTACTTCCTAATTGCCCATACTTCTTTTTTTTTGTTAAAGATCAATTTTTAAAAGCAAGCCTTGTCATTTTGAAAGTACCTTAGACATGTTATCCTGTTAATATTAATGTGTTTCATATCTCCGTAGCTTCTTTCCACCTTTATTATGAGAACTTACACAGTTTTTTCACTACCTTTTGCTTTAGAAGTGCATTATTTTGGGGGCATGGTGTGCACAGTGAGAAAAGGGTGTATGCTGGGGGCTTTTTCCCCCCAGAATAGAGATTTTTAAAAGACCCTTCATATTTTAAGATGTGAACAGTGATACTCCCTATTGTAAACAGAACCTAATATGTAAATTACGCATAGATAGTTGAAATTATTCCCTGGCCTTTTGGTGCAGGACCATGCAAGGTAAAGTAGCTAGCAGTAATTGGAATAGTGAATGACTAATCAAGAAATTCTTCTGATTTATCCTTAGGTGGTGAGTTATGCCACAGGCTCCCTGTTGGCCTGCTCACTATTATTTATTGTTTGTCAGTCAGCTTCATCTCTTTTTTTTTTTTTTTTTGTCTTTTTGAGATAGGATCTCGCTATGCAGTTCAGGCTGGCCTTGAGCTCACTTTGTAGCCCAGGCTGGTCTCGAACTTGCAACGACAACGATCCTTCTGCCTCAGCCTCCCGAGTGCTGGGATTACAGGCATGCGCCACCACACCCGGCAATCCACTTCATCTCTGACCAATCTGATGTGTGTGTTTGTGTGTGTGACATTAACTCTAGTCTACCAGACTTTTCATGCACCATCTAACCAATAAACATTAGCTTTCTTAGAGATTCTTCTCTTTACTAAGAGATTCATGAATAAGGTAAATAACCTACTTCTTCATTTAAAAACATTCTATGTATAGGACTGGGAGGGCCACTCAGTGATAGAGCCTGAGCTTGACGCCCTGTGTTAACTCTGCAACCCCTAAACAAACAAAACTTCTATTTACATATAACTTTTAAGACAGCTGGTACATAAATGAGATCCAGCTTCAGAGTAATGTACATCTGCCAAAATAAAGATCAGGATTTGGGGTGCTAACTTCATAGCATACTGTGGCATCATTTTTTGGCCCCACCTTCAACCCCCTCAAAAAAAGAATCCTAAGCACTGAGATCAAATGTTAGATGTATTTGGACAAAGATGAGGTTGGAGTTAGGACGGGAAGAAGTAAAGGCAATATTCAAGCAGAGATACTGTTCTGATCTTTGAGCAGTCTACTATCGGTACCTTTTCAAAACATTTTTCATTTAATTTCTAAAAGCTATTATATGAATATAACGCCCTTCTATGTAAGTTCCATTATAAGACACTTTTGTTAAATACATCGTCTTTGGGAAAAACAAATGATACATTTTAGCAATTTGATCTTTCTCGTATGATTTATAGTCTCATCCTTCATACTTAGTGTTTCTACTTTTGCCCATTTGTGCTGCCTTTACTGCCTTGAAATGGGCTACAGTTTGTTTCCTAAAACAAGTGATAAGTCACGGATAAATATTCAGTTAGTATTATAATTAGAAGATCCCCTTCCTTTTAGTTATTTCACAATGAATAACGTCATTGACAAATAGTATTTGTGGAGCAAACATAAGGAAAATAAGATCTAGGTATTCTCTGCTGTGTACAAAGATAAAAGAGATGAATAGAGTTCAAATTATTGGGCAAGTTAGTCTCTAAGGTAGTAAAAAAGAATTATTCATTTTTATTTCAGCTGACCCTGAATATCTAAATACATCCTACTATAGCAAATATTACACAGTGCTTTTATTATTGTGAAATAAATTTCCGAGTAAAATAATCTACTTACAAGATTGTTAAGTCACTGTTAATATAAAGGAGGAAAAAATATATATACAGGAGGAGTAAAAGTAATTCATAATAAAGTGAATGTGCATTTCAATATTTAAGGTACTCTGGCAGATCTACATGAGAAAGCATAATAAAAATAGGCAGATACTTGGTCCTGCGCCTAGAATCACCATGAATTAGAGAGCTACAAATGCAGGGACATGCAGGTATGCTTACTGGCGACGGAAGTGCCATGGGCAGTGGTACTTCACATCCACATTTTCTCCCAGGGTAAACCACTCTTGGTAATCTTCTGAAAAACACAAAGTGCGCAATATCTTCAGTTTACAAGGTAGCTGCACTCCTAGAAAATTCAGTATATATGAAAATGGTACAAAAAGTGCTTTGAGTCTATTTGCAGAACAGATTCAAATCATAATCCCATATAATTATAAATAAGTTTTCAACACATGAATAGCTGTGGAACATTTAACAACCATGTGGGCTGCAGAACAGTTCATCATGCTCTACTGCCCGGCAAATAACGAGATGTCCACCCACCCCGACCTTCTCCCACTCAATGCCAATAGCCGCTTCCAACCACTTGGCCACCAAAAATATTCCTGCCAATGCCCAAAATAGCTCCAGAGGTCACTCCCCTTGACACAATGATTGAGCCTGAACAAACCCACTTTTTCCTAATGAAACACCATGACCCTTTACTTTTACTCTTATACTGACTTGATTTTATAATTAGGAACTGAATTCACCCCCAGAATGATCTGTCCAGCTAGAATACATAAGCCTGCCAGTCCAAAAGGATACAGGAAACATTCCCTGAGAACCACCAGTAGTTAATTTTGGAGAACGTTTTACTGTCTACTGTATGTGGGCCCCTCTGGACTAGGAAAATGGGGATTTGAAGAGTGAGGAGACATTCACAGTCTGTACACACAGGAACTTTTGATGGGGATCATGTATGTTGTAGTAAAGGAAAGATCCCACCCCCTCTGCAATGCTATGTTTATTGCCTTTAAATAACATGATTAGTGGTAAATGGACTGGTTTTCCTGTTACTGCCACATAATTGCAGTTCATTAATACATGCATGCTTTTTTACTTAAACTTCAACCTTTTATATCCTTTATGAGCACATAATTTAATAATGGCTTAGGGTTTCTGTATTGATGGAATACATAGCACAACTCTTAACTTACCCTAAAGTGATGTATTTTTTAAGTACTAAAAAGCTGCTCTGAGAAGTTGCCATCCATTGAGCAATGTTATGGGTAGATTTTCATATTAATTTGTAAATATTTTTATTGGCCTTTGTCCCTGAATTTTTAAAATTATCTCCAAACATATTTGAAATGTGTACATGCAGCCCAAAATGGGCTTGCAATTATCCAACTTCCAAATGCTATTTTTTATTTTTTTATTTTTTTTATTTTTTTTTGGTTTTGGTTTTTCTCTGGTACCGGGAACCGAACTCACGACCTTGCACTTGCCAGGCAGGTGCTTTGCCGCTGAGCTATATCCCCAGCCCCTCAAATGCTATTTTTTAAATTATTAAAAATATATTTCCAAAAATTTAGAAAAGATATTTTTATATAAAATAGTCATATTGTCATTCTTTATAGGGAATTACACACACACACGCACACACACACACATCACTCTGTAATTCAGTTTATTATCTGCCTTACTTACTACCTTTCCTCTTCCCGATTCCCTTCCTCTGACAGATGCGCACATCCTCATTATTTATACTCTTGAATGTAAGGTTCCTGTTGAGAGCCAGCGCAGGTACTCAATTGCCTCTGGGATTTTGGTCTTTTTGGCCCAGGACTAATCAAGCAGAGACTCATCATAAGCTAAAACAGAAAAGCTTTTGTAGTAATTTCATCACCAGGGAAATTTGTTCATCCTTCAGAAAGACTATCGCCAGGAAAGAAGAAATAAAGAAGTTAAAATTGCTTCAGACCGTTGACTTCCTACGTCCCTCTAGATTCACAGGCAGAATTGGTTTTCAAGGGGTGGGAGGAATTATAAGAGGGCTTCCCCAAGAAAGCCTGCAAATTGATCATAGCCTTGGTAACATTCGTAGGTGTAAGTGTGACCACTGGGGCGGAAATGCTAACTGTGGCTGGAAGCTTGAGAAATGGGAAGGAAAAGAGACAGTTAGCACCTCTTCCTTTTTTTTTTTTGGCTGACTTTTTGGAGGTGGGTGTTCCCTGAGAATGCCCTTTGAAAGAAAGAGATACAGTTGATTTTTAAAAATATTTTATCATAATAAGTACAATGTAGTAGCTGTTGTTGATCTAAAACTAGGGTTTTAAACACTACAGAAAAACAGCCAGATACATTTCATGAACCTCTCCAGAAACTGGGGTTCCTTCTAGATATACCTACAGAATTTATTTAAAGTTGCTGGGGATATAGCTCAGCAGCACAAGCGCCTGCCTGGCAAGCGCAAGGTCCTGAGTTTGATTCCTGGTACCAAAAAAAAAAAAAAAAAAAAACCACAGAATTTATTTAAAGTAGGCAGGCCTGCGGGTATCTGAACTGCTCACTTATGTTGGAAGAATATAAATCCTTCCAAATTCAAAAGAATCCTTTAAGACTATCTTTTGAGTAAATCAGTAAAAATAATAATAATAAAAGATCTGGATGCCCCCTCTAGTTGCCTTAAATAATTTGAAATTGTATGCACCTACTGATGGAGACAGGAAAATAGGTAGGTAGATAGATAGATAGATAGATAGATAGATAGATAGATAGATAGACAGACAGATAGATACATTTCTTGTCAAGAATTCTAGTAGAAATTGGAGGAAAACAGGCACTTTAGCTTTTCAAGATAAACCTACACTCACCCTTCCCTTGCATCAAATACTTTGAATTTTGCCTGAAGTGAGTAAGCAAATAGAGAAATGACCTCATTTTTTAGTCGGAGTACACTATTGTTGCGGGTATTTCTCAAGGGTGTGACTTCAGTATTGGATCTGAGTTCCAGATGCATGCTCTTGCGGCCTGCCAGGAGGACGCGGGCACCTGTGAAGGGAGCGGACCTCTAGTAGGGGCAGCTTCCACAGATACGTCAGGGGCACAGACTGTAGCTTTCTGCCCTCTGGCCCACCGACCGCAGCCATCGCATCCTTATTGTTGTAACTCCCAGACTGTGATACTGTCACAAAACTGTTGCTAGGCAACAAATGTGGTTACCAGGTCTCAGCGAATAGCTGAAGGGGAAGCAAAGTGTTGCACCATTGTAGAGTAACCATAGCAATGACCTACTATTACAGACTAGAAAATTATCATTAACCATGTTAAAGTATCGGACAGAGGCCCTGAATTCGGAGAGTTCCAAGCAATATCTCTGCATAATTGAGTGATACAGGAAGATATTTCAACTGTTTCGAGGCTATTCATTCATTATATCTACAGAAGAGTCTTTGTAATTATATTTATTTTTGATTTTTAAAAAAATTCAGTTATGAAGCTATTGGTTAAATGATAAAAGCTAGCATAAGTAATCAAACACAGGCTAATGTATTTCTTCATCTGTCTTCATGCCTGTATCAGTGTTATCAGAGTTGCCTGTCCCACACTCAAGGTAGATTTGATTTGAGAAAAACAGTACACATTAATATTAAATCAAAGCCACAGAAGAAGCCGCAAAAACATAAAAGTAGCCCTGTGTAAACTGAAAGCTAATTTGAGTATTTAACAGTGGAATAATTCCTGCTACAACAGGAAACCCAAATGCTCTTTTAGTAGTTACTGCGTTGAAACTTTTTTTTTGCGTTTCTAAATCTGCCCCCAAAAAATCTGTTAAAAAAAACGTCTCCGGCTAGGATGTTGCAAGCATCCTCCTCCCTTCTGTGGTCCCCGCGACCTCGCAGAGGCAATGACATCCAACATCACAGCCCCTGGGCGAGGCGAGACCCCGCGTCCCGCTCGGGGAGCCCGGCCGCGGGACGCTCGCGGGTGGGCGTGCACGCGGCATCCCGCGCGCCGCGGAAGCCAA